ATTTTGAAAAAGCCTTCCTTGAGTAGCTTTTTCTGCACAGCTCATCATGTCTGCCCATTCTAAACACATTCCAACCATCAAAATCATGCCAACACACCTCGTTTTCCTAACCCTAACCCTACCCTGGTGCACACCCCTAACCCTAATATAGGACTAAAGTTCCATTGAAAATAGGACGATTTTGAAAAAGCCTTCCTTGACTAGCTTTTTCTGCGCAGCTCATCATGTCTGCCCATTCTAAACACATTCCAACCATCAAAATCATGCCAGCAGACCTCGTTTTCCTAACCTTAACCCTACCCTGGTGCACACCCCAACCCTAACACAGGACTAAAGTTCCATTGAAAACAGGACGATTTTGAAAAAGCCTTCCTTGAGTAGCTTTTTCTGCACAGCTCATCATGTCTGCCCATTCTGAACACATTCCAACCATCAAAACCATGCCGGGACACCTCGTTTTCCTTACCCTAACCCTACCCTGGTGCACACCCCTAACCCTAACACAGGACTAAAGTTCCATTGAAACTAGGGCACTCTTCCCTTTGCTATCCAAAAAACTACCCTGTGCTGCAATGCCTGGAGCCTGTTTCAGGATGGGGTTACACTGCATACTTTTAAAATTCAGTCCTACCCCAGGTAGCAGCTATTCCAGTCAAGCAGGGGAGACTATAAGGCGCACCATTTCAAGCATGCATTTGAAAGGCACTTGGGTGTATGTGGGGGAGGGGGTGATTCTTTAAGACACAATCTTGTCAGACAGAAAAGCAGCCTACAACTCTCAGCATCCCCCAAATGCCCGGGGGATGTTGGGAGGTTTCTGTCTAGATTTGCATAGAACTGCATGCTTAGCAATGCTTCATCAGCGCATCAACCTTCAACCTGTCCACATCAGGTGCTCTGGCTGCTAATGTCAATCTGGACCTGCTGCCCAGCAACAATGGCCTTGAACCATGGGAAAAGTGTGGACCATGCAGTTTGACTCTGAAGTGTCAGATTCAAGAGGTCTGTGGGAGGCTGACATCACCTGCTTCACTTCTTCCTTCCCTTTCTTCCAGTTTGGTACAAAGGAGGCATCTCCATGCAGACAAATACATTTTGAGCTGTTGACATGACAAGACAAAACTGCAGGCCCTGTGTTTTTCTCACAGGTACCAGAAGAGGGCACTGTTAGCATGCTCTCATGGAGCCTGACAGGGAGGGGTGTGTGAGAAACCCAATGGTGACAATCATGTACTTTCATGATTTGGTGTCCCAGATTCTGTTTTGCCAGCTCTGCACTGGTGTCAACGTACTATGGTGCATGTCAAGCCAGTTCATAGGCCTCTATCTTTAAGATGGGCTGTGATTTGCACATAAAATAGCTAATAAAAGCTAGATAAAATTGGATGATAGGCACAAATTGGAACCTGCAAAGTAGGTGGTCCTCACATGATTTGTGGAAATCACATAATGATCATGTGCTTTTTCAATACCAATTCCAGCAAAATGGGCAAAATACAAATAATGTAAATTTATGCAAATTCATTAGTGTTTTAAAAACTGCAGCCTATCTTAGAGACAGACATCTAGGTAAAAATCCACCTTGACCCTCTAGTCATTGGATAGAAGTCCAAGTTTGACACGTCAAACATCACTAACAGCAGACACCCACTTAAAAGACTAGAAAAAAACCAGTGAAGCACCTCAGTAAAAGCCTCCTTCAGATCTTTCATGCAGGTGGGAAGGGAACTGAGCAGGCATAGATGGGGACATCACACTTGTGTGTGCCCCCCACCCTTTTAGTCCTGTTGTGAACAGGCTGTATCTTTGTGGAGTTAGTCCTTTCTCTGTAATGTCTGTAGGGCATCTGTGCTTGAAATCAGGCCGTTGTCTTAGATTTCCAGAAACATCTATCAGATGTTTTCAAATACACAAATTACTTTTGAACATCATAGAAAAAGATGTCTTTGAGAGACAGTTGAAACAAGGAAGCAAACTTATCTCACAGAGAAGACAAGCAATGCCTGCTAGCCCCGATACTTCTATGCCACCTCCAGAATCAGAGGCGTTATGTCTGAGGACGCCAGTGTGGGGGACTTGGACAGGAAGGGGCTGTTGCACTCCCATCCTGCTTGTAGGATCCTGTGGCCAGCTGGCCGGCCACTGTGCAAGCAGAACGCTGGGCTGACCCAGCAGGGCCCCTCTTATGTTCTTAATAATCTGCCTGGGCACAACATGAGTCTGAGAAAAGACTGCCAGCATTATCAATCCTCTTCTGTCTTTGGTGGAGCACTCAGTTCCTTGTCAAGGAACAGAGAGTCTGCAGGATATACTTACAGGGGCTGTCTCATTCCCAAAGAAGTGTATTGTATCAAATCTCTCATCATCGAGGATGTCAAGGCAGTAACGCTTATCCCAGCCCTCCGGGAAGACATCAAAGCTAATCATGCCACCTGCCGGGACCACAGAGGGAGAGGGAGAATTAAGTGAAAAAGAGTGGAGATGGAGGCTTGCAAAGTAAAGCCCTCCCTTCAGTGCCTCCAGCCTAAGAAGCATTAGTTTGCGTAGAATAAATTGTTACACGAGAACGGTCATGCACCACGACTTCCTGCCCGATTCTCCAATACATTAATTCAGGAGCTGCTGTTTCTATGGCAACGGGACTGGATGGTGTCAGCAAGGCCCCATTTGCCAAAGGCACAAACAAAAAGCAGTTGGCCAGGGTATGCATGGTGAGCAGGGTCCAACTACTCTTCAGAAAAAATGTGTGAGCAGAGGGTGCCTCTGCAGCTCTTTTGCTCAGGGAGGAAGTGCTCCTTTAATAACAAAGCACTCTGGACTTCAACCTACTGCTGGGCAGAGAAAGGAGCTCCTGTTAACTGTGAGGTGACTGCAAAATGCAGGCACCTCAGGAGACACCTCAAGCATCCGGCTCTTGATCCTAGCACTGACTAAGGGGCAGGGCAGAGCAGAGGATGCCCGCCATGAGCCCTCCGGCTGTCACTTCTGCCCCTTTGGCCAAACTGTGCCAGTCCTTCAGAGGAATGCATCTGGCATGCTGCTGCCAGAAATACCCACAGCAGTGCTGGCCCCACAGCGGGCACAAGGTGCCCCCATCAGCAGTGTAAGGGATGGAGGGCCTCTTTTGGCTGGCGTTACACTAGCCCTCCCGGCACATTAGACATAGGAAGGACTAATGCAGTAGTAGGGAATCTGTGGCTCTCCTGATGTTCCTGGACTCCAAGTCCCACCAGCTCAGGCAGAGAGGGCAAATGGCCAGGGACGGTGGACCTGTAGCCCTGCAACATCTGGAGGGCTACTAGTTCATCACCCCAGTGCTAAACATGTGAGGAAGAGAGAGCAAGGCTCAGGGGGCCTCCAGATACATTAGGGGGCTTGTGTGACTGAATGTATGGGTGTCAGAGGATGGAGCTGGGTGGCTGCACACTGGGGGCAGGCCATGTGACCCGAGGACTAATCCATGGATGGCCAATGAGTGAGTAGGGCTACAGTCTCACCCAATGCAATGCACTGCTACTAGGAAAAGAATGACTGGCCATAGCCCATGTTTTGATCCCAACCATTTCTGCAAAAGAAAATGTTCCTTGCCTAAGCATCAAGCTGAAGTACACTTAGTTTCACTTGGACTGAATGTAGCTTATGTCTGGAAGTATTTATGGAGCATATAAAAATAATACAGAAAACAGATTCTTCTTAGAAAAGGTTTGTCATGGAAATATACCTCTTTTCAATCCATTCAGGAAAACATTCGTCTTCCCTTAAAACAGAAACAGTGCTTGATATTTTGCTTTTCCAAGTCTGCCACTTCCCTGGCAAAGTAAAATGCAGAAAGCACCTAGAGAGGTTGTGAGGCACTTCTTATGCTCACCTCGGGAAAACCGCAGGCCCTTGCCAGCGAACTCCCTTTGTAGGGCAGCTACAAACTTCTCTCGGATCCTTTCTTTCTACAAAACAAACAGAAAAAAGTGAGCAGGCAGAAGGGTGCATCATAACTGATACTCATGTCTGACGTTTTCCCATGAAAGTAAAGTTTTTTGTATGTGGTCTTGCAATCTCTTTCAAGGACCAGGAACGATCAAGATTAATCTTTGTACCTGGCTCCACTTTCCAGGCATGGTTACCCTAGCAACAGGCACAATCCTTCCCGATTGCTAAAATTTTACTTCTAACCACCCCATCCCCTGCAATCCAAATAGGCTTCTGTTTGCCACAGTAAAGCATCTCAGTTGATAAATAAGTTACTTCTGCACCTAATGCTCATATTTTACCTTGTCCAGTTCAGAAAATTCTATTCTTTCCTCCAAGGTGCAGCTCCGGCCAATGGGGGAGATGTTCAACATTCCATTACGGAACTCTATGAAGGTCCCTCTTTGCATGTTTTGGGAGGGAGAAGAAAATGAGAGACTTGAACATGGGTTGCAAAACAGAATCCCTTCAGTTGCACAGGGTCATGACTTCTTCAATATAAAGTGAGGTAGAACCTTCTCACCATGATATGTCACAGGTTAAAACCAACCATAGAGTAGTTGTAGAAAGATAAGGCACTAAGTAATTCCCACTATGCGGTGCTTAACTTTTCCTAAGGAAACTCATACTCAGTTCCTCATTGCTCTCAGCGCTTGCATCTTAGTTCTTCCAGGATGAAGGTCCTTCCTGCTCCCAATGTAGATTTTTGATGCAGAGCCAAATTACCTCCCAGAAAACCTCTAAAATCTACTACCTCTCCTAAGAATTATAATGAAAATGTTGGAAATGCAACAGGGTGGACAGGACTTTCTATCATATGTGGTGGACATTTGAAATAACACATACATTTTGGAAACTGATACAAGCAGAAATGCAGAAAATCTTCAAAATTAAGTTTCCTATGAGTTCCAAGAACATGCTTTGACCCAGAGACCCTTTTGAAAAATATGTCAGAATTATTTAAGTATATGACCACGGCAGCAAGAGTCTCAATAGTTTCTAAATGGAAATCACTGGAACCCCCAACTATTGAGGAATTGAGAAATAGATTAGCAGAATATGCAGTGATGGCAAAGCTAACCAACTATGTAAATAGAAGACCGTTAGAAGAATATAATGATAAATGGAAATTTTATTGTGTTTAGCACAATAAAGTTGGGGGGAGTTAGGAAAAGAAAAAGGAAAGCAGTATTTGTTGATGTATACAATAATAATTTCTTTTTGGTTAACTCTCATAAAGGATGGGAAGATAGAAAGAGAGTCAGTTTGGAGGAGTTGTAATATAGGCTGTATCTGTTTAAAATTCCCTTGGCAATCTTGTCTATTTTGTTTATCTTGTTCACTTTAGTTTCTTCTGTTTATACTAGTTTTTCCTCTATTCTACATTTTTCTATGTATTTGTATATGTTAAGAATATATTTTTTAAAAAAATCTACTACCTCTCCTACTCTTTTATGCGTAATTTATTTAGGATGAAAAATTTCCAATGGACAAAGGACTTTCTTGTTCTAAAGTGATGCTTTTGTAATGCTAAGCACAACACGATCCAGAATAGTACAACAAAATGTTATTAACTGCAGTTAAAATGTTAAACAAATAGTATTTGCTAGACCAGCTATCCTTAGCCTGGTTGTCCTTCAAATGTTTTTGACTACAACTCCCGCAACCCTTGCTCATTGGCCAAGCTAGCTGGGATTTATGGGAATTACAATCCAAAACATTAGATTGCCTACCTCTGCACAAGTTACTGCAACTATCGGTGCTAACTTAAATCTGAGTTGTCTTCATCCAATAAATGCCTTTTAGGCTGCAGTCCAGTACTCCCTGGGAGAATACTCCAGGAATCAAAGAATATTTTGGATCTCCTCCAAGGGTAGAAGGCTAGGTTTGCTAGGAGAGAGCCATCCTCTGTGGGGATGTAGAGAGCTCCACAGCTAATGCTTCTCTCTTGCGGGAAGGTACCAAAAGTTGGCATTCTGTGGACTTTGGGGAGATATACTGAGAGATCCCATGCCTTTAATAAGTCTCTGGAAAAAGAGTTGGGCTTGATCAGCCTTTCTCAACCTGGCATCCTCCAGATGTGTCAGACTACAACTGCTATCATCCCTGGCCAACACAGAGAACTCTCTGTGAGGTTATTCCTGAAGAGTGCCTAGAAGCTTCAACTGGGGCAACATGTGGTTGCTGGGTGGTTAACTGGGCACTATGTCTGTCTTGCCAACTGTTGTCCAGGCTAATTTCCACTCCCTAATTGTGTAATGTGTTCCTGAAGAAACTATGATTGACTTCCACTCTCTTGGCTTTTAGAAAGCCTATAAAGATGCATTTTGTAATTTGGCCTTTTAAAAGATGTGATTTTAGTGTTTTAGATTTTACTATTTGAATGTTATTGGCATTTAAAAAACATTTTAAAGTTTTATTGTTTTAAATTGTTATGCATTGCCTTGATGGCTCTTTAGTAAGTAAAGAGGTATATACACATTAATAATAAGCAATAAACAGAGCTGGGCTAGTTGAGCCATTTGGTTCCTTCCAGTTACCTGATTCTAAATGTGCATATGTTGTCTGGACAGTAAAGCCAGAAACTGCATGCACTGGGATAACAAAGGAACATTACCGTTTCTTGGGAAGCTTTAGAAGAGCCATGTAGTTGAGGCAAAAGTTGATCAGTTCCTGTAGAAGTTCCTCACCCAGGTGGTTCTGGATAGCCTGTCGAAGTCAAAGGTACACTGAGCCAATTGAAAATAATTTCTAGATGGGACTCTTCTTAAAACGAATCCATTTGTTTTATGAACTTCAGAATGTAAGAGATGGCTAAATTATATACTGGACAGAAGAAAAGGGACAGGAAAGACCAGAAGTTCCCAAGGTGAAGCCTCAAAATGCTGGTCTAAGAATTTTAGTTTGAGATGTAATATGTCCAGTGTGTTTTCACATATCACATTTCTCAGGACCAGTTCCACAGGACAAGAGGCTGTATGAAGAAAATGGAGTATTAAAAACATAAAATAACCTTGTATTTTATGCAAGGTTTTGAGTTTAATAATTATGCTTTTCTTGTCGTCTCTGTTATCATTTCTCTGACTGCCTCTGAAGCAATAATGATGCTTAGTACACTACAAAATAAAATTATTCAAACATCTTTTTGAGCCTTTGCCTCCCCTATTTTGGTTTCATTATATGGTGGCCTACTTGATGACTCAGTGGGGTTGGATACATGGAGAAGCTTTGGATACCACCATTTTCTGCTGAGAGATTCACGGAGGGGGAAGAGAACAAAGGAGGGAATTTGCAATGTTGGTGCTACAACACAAGCAGGCTGGCCTACCTGCTTGGAGACTAGCTGCCCATTCTTGTACTGCACAGTGCCATTTTCTGCAAAGACGTAATCAAACTTGTTGATGACTGTGGAGGATGGGGAAGAAAAGGGAAAAGAAAAATACAGATCAGAGACAAATATTTATGTGTCTGAGGCCATTTGCCTCAGTCAGGTGGCTAGGTGCCAAATAGGATGTGTAAGCTGAATTTTGATTCCTGTGGCTTTATTCTGACACTTTAGCACAGCTAGTAAAAGTGCTGTGTGAACAATGAGCCTCATAAAAAATATCAGTAATGATGTTCCCATTTTACAGATGAAGAAGTTCAAGTTGGTAAGTGAAAACCCAGATGCTTGTTCCTCCAAAGAACCCAAGGCAGTATCCATGACTATCCTCCTCCCCATTTTATCCTGACCCTTTACTCTTTGAAGTAGATGAGGTGGAGAGTCAGTGACTGGTCCAAAATACCCAGTGAACTTCATGGCAAGTGAGGACTACCATCTGGGTGTCCTCAGTTGTAGTCCCACATTCCAAGCACTATACCACACACAGGAAAAGACAGCACTGGAGCTGAATTGTGGCTGGTCATGATACTCTGCACGCTTTCTTTGACTCGTCGACCTCATTCCCATTCAGAAAGATACCACACTAGCACTCAAAGCAATCCTACATGCGCTTACTCCGAACCAAGTCTCGCTATGTTTGATAGGTTTTACTTCTAGTTAAGTGTGTACAGAATTGCAGCCACAGTGACTTTTTATCTAACACGGGCCTTTCTTAGCAGTAGTCCACAGGCCAGTGTTGAATCAGCACTTCATTTAATGTTCTCTACGGCTGTTACCACACCCTTACCTGTAAATAAACCTTAGGGAAATCAATGCATATGGGATTGCCCTATTAAACTATTTGTTTTGTTAAGTCCTTTCTTTGGAAGGAAAATGCCAAAATCTGTCAGGCTTTATCTGATACTGGGAAAGTGGAGATGAAACACAGTACAGGGTCACAGAATGATCCACTTTACTTCTGCAAACTAATGTGGTTCTAATCTCACGAACCCAGGGCTCAGAGGAGTTCCACAGGCTGGAAGCATGGTCTGACAATGAACAGAACTCCTTTCATACCATTTGTTGCAGGGAAAGAATATTAACACCCTCAAGCCTTACTGAAATTACTGCTGGTCATGGGCTTGACTGCTCCTCTGCAAGCCACTTCTACTATATTAGGTACTGCATTGCAAGCACCTGTTGTTTTCTTCATTTTCTACTGTCAGGTGTGTCTTGTGTTTCTGTGTTCACATGAGCTCCCAACAGCCAATGGTACCTTTGGTTTTGCCTCCACTTCCAGCATTTCTGATCTCTTCAGGTAAGTTTCCTCCTCTATTGCTCTGTTGTTCTTGCCGCTTCCCCTGGGATCTCTGTCTTGCTTCTCTTAATTTTGTAGCTGTATGAAGGAGGTGTTAATTTCCCCAACCTAAGTATCAGTTACAAATCATATCTTTTCTCATGTCTCATTGAATGGGTTACCACCCTGTAACCATAACAACCTACTTGGACAGGCCTAGAATCTGCAATTTGACTTCAGTGGATGGTACTGGGCTCCATGCCACTTAAACAGAGAGGGCCTTATTTCCATCCCACCATTCAATTGGCTGGAAGGATGTAGCAAGCGCTGGCTTATCAGCTGCAATTTGAATGCTTTATTGCATGCCAAACTAACAGTCTGATACAACTCAGATTTGAAGATGCCAGACACCATTTACTGGGGAGGCAATAGGTACAAACAGGCACCCTCACATTGTTGGCCTCTTTTGAGAAAATATATTACTGACCACAGCCTTGTTTCAATATACATTCCAACATTTGGTCAGATTACGTCTATATGAGTGAGTTGGACAGGAGCTTTAAAAAAAGATTATGCCTTTTAATTGCTACTTTGCAATTATTTGCATTGTACATTCATTTGTGTTGTTTTGCTTTATATATTTTATATACATGAGTAGTTAAAATATTGTACAAGTTAAATAAAAACTATGAATATTTTTTAAAAGTATAGCTACTTTATAAAACTGAGGGGCAGAACTTGCTGCACCTGATCTAGAAAAGACTACAAATATTTCTTGTAGGGTTACTCCTGTTCCAGGTAACCTTGAAAGCCATGAACATACTTCATCTGCTTTATTCCACTGCCCACAAACATCTAAGGAAGGGGTGGGCAATGTCTCCCTGGCCAAGCTGTTTAGGGGCCAGATCCCACACTGCTGGCCATGATGTCACTGTCTGTCCCTCAAGCAGCTTAGGATAGGAGACTCTCCCCGCACTGCTCCTAAGCTCTAGAAGGGAGTGTTGAAGCCTTCTGCCTGAGGACTAGTTTCAGGTTTAAAGAAGCTCTTGGAGGGGTTGTATTTGGGGCTGAAGGCAGAAAGGGTGAGAAAGGACTAGATACTTGAGGTAACATATTTGAGTTTAAGGCTCTTACTGCCAATAACACAACCTTAGAAGAGGCATTTCAGCCTTTTAGAACAGAGGAAACTCCCACACAAAAGCCAAGATACCATTGTACCAATTGTACTACCTCAGGCCAGTAGAGGAAATCACATTTCTAGACACTTCTGTACACAAAACAAAGTCTTTGGACATTCGACTTGAGGGCAAAGGCTAGAACTCCTTTTTCCCCATGCCACAGTTCCATCTTTTGTAATGACAGAGGGCCATTCAAACATGTGATTCTCACACCAGCCATCTGAAATGATGCAATCCCAGGAGAACCATAGCACACATTTTCCCATACAACTGAATTGGCCCACATAGTTCATCTTTGTGAATGGGATTTTTTCAAAAACTTGCAGCATGTTTGTAACAAAGGATCCTTCAAACACATGGGGCAGGACAAAAGAAACAGCTCACCTTCATCTCCTTCACCCAGCTGCTCGGCTATCTTGGAGTAGTCTGAGCCACCCACCACACCAATCTTTACTCTCTTGCGCAGCTCTTGAAGAAACTCCGCAATCTCAGGTTCAATTTTCTGAAGGAAAACATGGAGAAAGAGGACATGGTACTTGTTTTTATAGAAGTTATCAAGCTACTTGGATGCCTATATTAGAGAGCATCTAATAAATGTAACAGTCCTGCACTGCCTTAATTCATTGTGGTAGGAAGAGAAGTGAGTGCAGAGAAAAGTACCTTTCAAGATGGAATGCAGAGGGAAAGGTGGTGGTGGTAGGGAAGTATCTTTCATCTCTGCTTAAATATTTTTGATGCAGGGTGCTCTCAAACTGTGCAATTTGTTCCTACAAGTTGTTGTGTTGTTAGTCGTGAAGTTGTGTCCAACCTATTGTGACCCCATAGACAACATTCCTCCAAGCCATCCTGTCCTCCACCATCCCCCGGAGTCCACTTAAGCTCACACTGACTGCTTCAGTGACTCCATCTAGCCACCTCATCCTCTGACATTCCCTTCTTCTTTTGCCACCTATTGTTCCCAGCATTAGGCTCTTCTCCAGGGAGTCCTTCCTTCTCATTAGGTGGCCAAAGTATTTGAGTTTCATCTTCAGGATCTGGCCTTCTAAAGAGCAGTCAGGGTTCATCTCCTCTAGGACTGACTGGTTTGATCGCCTTGCACAGTCCAAGGGACTCGCAGGAGTCTTCGCCAGCACCACAATTCAAAGGCCTCAATTCTTCAGCGCTCAGCCTTCCTTATGGTCCAACTTTCACAGCCATACATTGCAACTGGGAAAACCATAGCCTTGACTATATGCACTTTTGTCGGCAGGGTGATGTCTCTGCTTTTTAGTATGCTGTCTAGATTTGCCATAGCTTTCCTCCCAAGGAGCAAGCATCTTTTAATTTCTTGGCTGCAGTCCCCATCTGCAGTAATCTTGGAGCCCAGGAAAATAAAATACAAGTTGTTGTAGTGGCCACCAACTCAGAGGATCAAAAGAGGATTAGACAAATTCATGGAAGAGAAGGCTATCAACATTGGCTACTAGTCATGGAAGCTATATATTACATGCAGGAGAATGGTATTGAACCCATGTTGTGGGCACCCTCCTGCTCATGTTCCTCAGCAATTGGTATCCAAATGCATGCTGCCACCTTTACTGAATGCAATATACAGCTATTATGACTAGCTGTACATTACACCCAGAGCCTTTGCTGTGATCCAGCATGGCTTTTCATATGTTCTTAGATTTAATTCAAGGATGCCATTTACAAGCAGTGGGAGCAGTTGTAATATGCATGCAAGAGAAGCCCAACAGTAAGGCTTTGTCAACACTTCGGAGTTGCTTGGAGACATGATAGTCTGCCGAAAAGCAAACTGCTTGCACTGCCATCACAGACCTTCCTTTAATTTTCTCCTAAACAGAACCTCTTATTTTCTTCAACTCTCAAGCAGAAGACCCTGAAGAGATGCAGGAGATAACCTGAGAGCAAAAATGTACTACTTGCAAGCCATTTGGTGTCCACCAGGCCTAGAGCATATATATTATGCCTTAAAAACTTAAATATAGCATGTACAGAGATAGGCGCATGTACAGAGATAGGCACATGTGTTAGGTAGCAATCCATGAATGAGGAAATTATCCAGTCACTCTAAGCCAAATCAAAAGAAAAAAGTCTATTTAAGTTCAATACAAGAAAGAGGAAGATATAGAAGTGGCAAGAAGAAAACAATTACATGGTTCTAGTGTCTATCTTGCAGCTAGAATTTTCCACAGAGAGATTGCAGGTGTAATAACAGCTTTCCCCAGTCTAGTGCTTCTGAATGTGTTGATGACAACTCCTTTCATTCCTAGCCAATGGTCATGCTGGCTGAAAATCATAGGAACTACACTCCAACACATCTTGGAGGCACCAGGTTGGGGAAGGCTGAATGAGTCCCCTCATTTTTGTAAGGCTTGGAGGCCAAATCCAGTGCAGCTCAATATGCTATTGCTTGTACTTTTGTTTCAAAGGGAGTAGTTTTATTACAAAGGTGTGGACTAGAGGAGTGTTCTTTCTTACTTTCCTGTCAACCTTTGTGTAACTAAGATTATGCTAAGGCAGGAGGGATTCAAGGGGTGGAAAAGCTACCTTCTGGGGCAAGACAGAGGAATTCTCAGTGCTGATTTGGCTCATCTTGAAATAGAGCAAATTCAGTGCTAGCCTCTGGCACCCAGCAGAGATAGTTAATATGTGAATAAACAAGCATTGTGATTGCAGGACAGAGTCTTGGGTCCACTCCTAGCTATTTTGAGTAGGCTGTCACTAGTGATTATGAAGTGTGTGTGTGTGTGTGTGTGTGTGTGTGAATGACCCTCTCTGTTAGCAAGGAAAAGAAAGTCAGAGAAGTTCTCTCTCTCTCTCTCTCTCTCTCTCTCTCTCTCTCTCTCTCTCTCTCTCCTCTCATGGTGCATTAAAAGTCAAGGTCACCCAAGAAAGATGATTTACAAGATTAGGTCAACAAAACAAAATCAGTTGTTCATGCAACATTCAATTCAATTGTGGAATTCTGCCACAAGGTGTCGAGATGGCTGTTCCTTTTGATGTCCTCTTAGTCTACTTTTTTCTTTTTCTTTATTTCCTAAGTCATGGAGCACTGGTGTCTATAGACTAGCTAACTCAAGAATGAAAACTAGGTGGATGGCTGGCACCATTATGCCAGGTTTGCACACCGGTCACAGTTGGACGACAACTCCCAACATTCCTGGCTGTGCACCTTATTCGGGGAACGTCTCTTACACCCGACTGATGAGTTTTTGGACACTGCAATTCTATATACGTCTACTTAGGAGTAAATCCCACCTGTACGTTCAAATGGTCCCTACACTCTTTAGTACTTGCCTAGGAAGTATGGCCCAGCAAACCCAATGGGCCTGACTCCCGAGCACGATCGAAAAACTGGTCGGCTCGGTCTGATCCTTAAGCATGACCATGCTTATGCAACGGGTGCACACGAGAACCGCCTGCCTGGAAGACCGCCCAACCCGCTCTGCGCGGGCAGCTCCTCGCTCGGCGAGTCTTCGCTCATTCTTGGCCCTGAGTTGAACTCCGGAGGCGGCGCGACTCTCGCAATCGCGCGCTTCGCAACTGCTGGGGTGGGGGGGGGCAGCAAAGGGAGGGAGGACGGGCACGCGGGGCCAATAGTGTTCGCACTCCGATGCAAGCCGCATCTAGACCGCTAAATTTCAGGGTCCGAGCCCAGGCGTCCGGTCGGCGCCGGCAGGATGGTCTCTCCATTCATTCGGCTGGTGGTTCAAGGGCGAATAACCGGGCGCGCGCGCGGGACTGGGAGGGATCGGGGTGGGCGAGGCGAGAGGCGGCCCGATTCGGTACCTGGCGAGGTGGCGTGAGGGTCCCATCCACGTCGAAGAGGCAGAGGATGCGCTCCGGGCTCGCTGGGGTCTCGGGGGCAGCCATAACAGCTTCCCTCCCGCCTCCCGCGGCGGCGGCGGCGACGGCACTAGCGGCAGAAAGAAGACAGCGCTGTGCCGAGAGGCGGACGGGAGGCGTCGGCCCAGCGCTGAGCCAATTGCGGATGTGAAGGGCCACTCACGTGACGAAGGAAACCGGACCGGCAACACGTACCCGCCGTTGGCGGGGAAAGGAGCAGGGGTTTAACCCCCGGTGCACGTTTCTTTTGGTTGGAGGAGTCTTTTCCCCGTTCCCCTTTCTCCGCAAAAAAAGAGGTTTTGTTTCCTGCAAAGGGAACCGGTTATGAACTTGCAGGCTTTTGTGGCTGCTGACATCGTTTTGAAAGCGAACACTTTTTATTACGGCATCAGCCAGCCGTCCCCAATCTTGTGTCCTCCAGATGCGTTGGACTATAAGTCCCAGCATCCCCCAGGGTGGGGAGGGCTGACCCTCCTTGGAGCGCACTCCAGTTGTTGCATCAGAACAGAGTTGCTACCCTTTGCCAGTTTAGACAGAAACAAGTCCTACAGCTCTCAGCATCCTGCAGACAGCCATGCCGGCTGGGGAATGCTGGGGAGTTCTAGGACTTTTTTTCTGTAAACACGCAAACGATTGAACCCTAAATTGCTTTTACGTGCATGTAGAGTTGGCCAGATAATGTTATGTTTTGGGACAGCACAGAATCTGAGTTAAAAAGGACATTAGATCATCTAGTTCAACCCCCTGCCCAAACTGGGTTCTGCATTGCAGCTGCAGTGTACCTATCAAATGGTTGTTCAGAATCTGCTTAAATACCTGTAAGGAAGGAGGCAGCCTGCTTCACCATTGAACAGCTTTCACTAGGAAGTTTCCCCTGATGTTTCACTAAAATCTACTTCCTGGCTGTTTCCACACATTGGTTCTAGTCCTGCCCTCTGGAGGAACAGAAAACAAGGCCGCTCCATCTTCTTTTTACATCTTCTTTCAGATATTTGAACATTACAATTGTTGTTGTTGTTAGTTGTGAAGTCGTGTTCGACCCATCGCGACCCCATGGACAACATTCCTCCAGGCCTTCCTGTCCTCCACCATCCCCCGGAGTCCACCTAAGCTCACACCAACTGATTCAGTGCCTCCATCTAGCCACCTCATCCTCTGCCATCCCCTTCTTCTTTTGCCATCTATTGTTCCCAGCATTATGCTATTCTCCAGGGAGTCCTTCCTTCTCATTAGGTGGCCAAAGTATTTGAGTTTCATCTTCAGTATCTGGCCTTCTAAAGAGCAGTCAGGGTTCATCTCCTCTAGGACTGACCGGTTTGATTGCCTTGCAGTCCAAAGGACTCACAGGAGTCTCCTCCAGCACCACAATTCAAAGGCCTCAATCCTTTGGTGCTCAGTCTTCCTTATGGTCCAGCTTTCACAGCCATATGTTGCAACTGGGAAAACCATAGCCTTGACTATACGCGCTTTTGTTGGCAGGGTGATGTCTCTGCTTTTTATTATACTGTCTAGATTTGCCATAGCTTTCCTCCCCAGGAGCAAGTGTCTTTTAATTTTTTGGCTGCAGTCACCGTCTGTGGTGATCTTGGAGCCCAGGAAAATAAAATCTGTCACTACCTCCATTTCTTCCCCATCTATTTGCCAGGAAGTAATAGGACCGGATGCCATGATCTTAGTTTTCTTAATGTTGAGTTTCACACCAACTTTTGCGCTCTCCTCCTTCACCCGCATCAAGAGGCTTTTTAGTTCCTCTTCACTTTCTGCCATTAGAGTGGTATCATCTGCATATCTGAGGTTGTTGA